CTCTGCTTTCAGGTTAATACTCTTTCATCCTTGTGAATCAGCACACAAACTATATGTTTGTGAAACTTTACTCACACTGTCAAAACGATAGCATTTATACACCTTTTCACAAGCTGAAGACTAGCCATGAAAAATAAATAAGCCATCACTGTCCAAGTCTGGAGCACAAGTCACAAAGAATGGGAGAAAGTTACAGAGTCTGCATTCCCACACTCGTACATTACTCTAGGCCAGTGTTTCTCAACCTTGGCAACTTGAAGATATGTGGACTTCAACTCCCAGAATTCCCCAGCCAGCCATGGGGAATTCTGCGAGTTGAAGTCCACACATCTTCAAGTTGCCAAGGTTGAGAAACACTGATTTTAAGCATTTGGCAACTTGAAGATATGTGGACTTCAACTCCCAGAATTCCCCAGCCAGCCATGGGGAATTCTGGGAGTTGAAGTCCACACATCTTCAAGTTGCCAAAGTTGAGAAACAGTGCTCTCAATGCAAGCTAAGCACCTGCTCTACCCTTTTAACTCGCTTAAGTTTCTAATTTATCATTTGAACATGAGCTCAGGAATCTGAGAGGAGCCTGACTGTCGCTGTTGAACCCAAGGCCTTTCTTCCGGTCATGACCCTGAGGATCAAATTAAAAGAGGTACCTGGAGCAGCATGTCTCCTGGTTCAATTCTTCCATCAGCTGCAACAGCACCTCCCTTCATGATAGAGCCAATGTAGATGCCTCCATCACCACGCTCATTGCTTTGCCCAACAATGGAGATGCCCAGGAAGTTGTACTTCTCTGCAGAAAAGGAGGTGGGCAGTTAGAACCCCATCCAACCCAACCAGCATTACCTGGTCAATTCAATCATCTGTGATCTAGCTAAAAGAAATGACTATTAGATATTTATGTAATGTATAGCTTATCATGCTTTCTAACGCCAGAAAGTTGAGATGACTATAAAGCTTTTGGAAGGCTGGATGATCACTCTTAATCATCTTGTTTTATAGTAATTCAGGAAGTAAAGTGCAGAGGAAAAAAATGAGAACTTGAAAAAAAAACTGGCAAAGGACAATGAATAATACATGATATAAGACCTGAAGGGGAAGAAATAACAGATGTGCAAAATGTCTGAACTCTCTTGAATTGCACATATTCTCTTCTATTGGCGTCTTGAATTTGAAACATCCCAACTTGAGTTAGAAGCAACCTATTTCAAGTACAAAACATCTGTTTCAAGCAGAAAGTGGGCCATCCCAAGCATTTCAAACTCACAACAGTATTCCACACGTAAAGAAAAGTGGTTTCAAACTCAAGGTGGCTGCTCTGCACGTAACATGAGCTGTTTTGCATTCAAAAGGGTTCAAATTGTAAAACATTTGTGCATCTCTAGAAAAAAACATGATTTTACATCTGACTACCCTGCATATAATATTGGTTCAGAAAAAAAATTCTCCAAAGGCCTTCTCCATGCTAAACTGTTAATTCATAATGTTGAACTGGTTATCTTCCTTCCACCTGCAATGTTCTAGTCCTGGGCCCAACTCTAAGCAGCCACCTGGACTCACCCATGTTGAGAGTAACTGTGATGATATTCAGCGACATGGTGGAATCAGTGATGCTGCTAAAAGACGAAGACTGCAAGAAAAGGAGAGGATGAGATAAGAACATGTCTAACTCACCAGGCACAACTGGCAAATGGATTTTGCGTCCAACCACCAGGGAGCGGGTGGGGGTAACAATGCCCTCCAAGGCTCTCCCCACAATTGTTTAGAATGCAGGCCTGCCCCTATGACTTGCAAAGTCGTTTGTGACACGGTCCCATCTCCAACCCTCCAGCCAGGCCTCTCACCCTTTCAATTCGGGCTACTTTCTGTTTCCGCCGACGGCGTTTATGTCTTCTCATAAGGCGCGAAGTGCTGCTTTGTTCTGTAGAGCTGCTGAACCTGCGATACGAGGGGCAGAGTAAGATTCAGAAGCCTGCCAACCAGAAAGCCATAACCAGGTGCAAAGGTGGACATCAGGTTTGGGTTCTTAGATGAGAGCTTGGAGTCATTTGGTCCAATCCCCTTTACAAAACAGGATAATCTCAGATACTATCCCTACTCCCTACTATACGCAGAATAAAATGGCCAGCTATACCACCAGCGAAAGCAAGAGAGCAACAGAAACATTTATGGCCCAATGCAATTTCCTTATTTATTTAAAGAATTTATACAGCTGTCCAACTCGAACGTTGCAACTCTGGGTGGCATACAACAGATCAAAAAACAAAACAAAAATCCCAGTTAAAACACAAAATTTTATAGGTCACCCAGAAATCACATTCATATCCTTCTTCGTTACTATCCCATATTGACCTGGGCTGAGTGACAAGAACTAAGTCACGTGCTAAAGGGGAAGACAGCCTGCATTCCAACATAACTGATCAACTATTTAAACCAGTGTTTCTCAACCGTGTCAACTTTAAGATGTGTGGACTTCAACTCCCAGAATTCCCCAGCCAGCCTT